TAATAATGCCCATAACAAGGAAATAAAAATGGGAGAATAAAATCTTTCTTCTCTGGCTATCTCCCGTTACAATATCATTAGAAATAAAGGATGATTAAATGTCTAATGAGAACGAATGCTGGACATTTTTATCACAAATAAAGAAAAATATGAAGCAAAGAATATTGAAATACAGACTTCGGTAATAGCCAGAAACCGAGCAAATTATTAAATGATCGTTAAATAACATTAGAAACTAAGAAAAGAGTGCGATGTAATATCTAATCTTCTATGTAGCAGAGAATGATAGACAATGTCGTAATAAGATTTGAAACGAGGAAGATGTGGTTCTTTCGACGACTGTTGAAGATAATAAGGACAGAGCATTCGACAAAAGAGAAAGTTTTCAAAGTGAAATGTCTGGAACGTGTAATGCGGAAAGAAGACTTAGAGAATTTAACACTCAAAAGAGAAAATGAAGACAAGAGAAGCAGAGAAAAACGAGGACTAACCTGCTTGATAGTTTTAAGCAAAATGATGGAATAAATACCACAAAGACAAAAGGGTCTGACAGGAGCAAGTATTGCTAAGAACAGTAGAACACAGGAATCTGTGGACAAATATGCCCACCCGTAGAAAGAGGGCGTGAACGCACTTGGTAAATCCGAACAAATGAATGAAAGCGAAAGATGAGTCATCAAGGAGAATGTATTACTGGGAGCCACAGAAGACAGGAAGCTGTGGCGAATCATGATCGTCTATATCCTGTAGGGGCAAGGCATATAGAAAGAGGGAATACCCACACAGTTTGAACAAACGGATGGAGTAATAAATACCACAAAAACAAAAGTATTTTTGAGAACAGCAGAACAAAAGGAAGCTGTGAAGAAGCATGATCACCTCTAGAAAGATGGGGAGAACGTACTTGACAAATTTGAACAAATGACTGGACGAACAATTACCACAAAACAAAAGAGGATTACTGAGAGCAACAGAAGACAGGAAGCTGTGGTGAACCATGATCGCCTATATCCTATAGGGACATGGCACATAGAAAGAGTGAACACTAACTTGAAACGTTTGAGTAAATGTTTGAATGGTGGATCAAGTATCACCAAGGAGTCATAAAGATGTAAGTATAATTAGGTACATCAAAAACAGGAAACTGTGGAGAACCATAACCTCCCAAATCCTGAAGTATACGACAAGCAGAGAGAACGAAAGAGTAATCGTTCTCATATTGCCATGATTTATTTTAATTATTTTAACTCTACTATCCCACGTCAATAATTTAAGCCAATATTTAACAAATATGTTCTGCCGTGATGAATATGTTCTGTCGTGAATCATGGGCGCTCAACACGACTACTGCAGAGACCCTTGCAGTTGCCCAACGTAAAATGGAGTGAATCATGCTCGGCATCACCTTAAGTGACACGGAGAGTAACACCTGGATTCGACAGCAGACTGCAGTAAAGGACATAATCAAGGCTATCATGAAAAGCAAGCATAAATAGGCTGGTCATGTCTCTCGTCTTAGGTGGACTATTGAATGGGCACCAAGGCAGTGGAAGAGAACTAGAGGGCGGAAAAGGAAAGATTGTTCGGCGATCTGACCCAGTACCTCGGCCCACATGACCCAGTACCTCGGCCCACATGACCCAGTACCTCGGCCCACATGACCCAGTATGGGCAGATAGGAATGGGAAATCACTGGATTTGGAATTGCTATTTGCTTTAAAAAGAGAGCATGATTTACTGGCATCAGTATAACATTTAATTAAATATAACCTATTCTAAGTACAACATCGGCCAACAACAATTAACATACTACTCTCTATATGAAGCAATATGATAGGGTAACAGGAAACATTTATAAATTTAACCAGGAAGGGGTTCCTCTAACAGGAGTGAGAAGGCACTGGGTTTGGATTTATATTTTAATTGTTTCTGTTGCTTATTATTTATTTAATTACGTTTACAAATTTAAATAAAGAAAATATCTTTTATTTTAGAATAATTATGTCTTTTTTAGGTGAAGTATATTTTAGCCGAGGTAGTGCCGTTTTATCTGGTTTTGGTCTTAATCTGTGAAAACAAAATCAGCCTTTACTATCTGTAGATGTAAAGTTTAAGATTACAAAGTTTAAACGTTTACAACTACAAGAATTTCATCGATCTGTGACGACCTCGATACATTTATTGCATCCTTGCATTGTTAAAATCGATCTTTAAGATGTATATCGACCACTTAGCAAAGATTTATGATGAACGTTAGATGATGTTCTCTCATCTTGAACCAGTTATTTATAACACAGGAATATCAAAAGTCTGATATGATTATAAATGCAAGAAATAATTTATTGCTTTTTTTAAATCAGTTTTTCTCTTGACTAAATGCAAGATGAGAAGCCTTCACTAAAACAATGGTATCCGATACTATCAGGTTAGCATTTGTGTGTCATATATACCTTTTATTTTTTTACTAAATGCTAGATGAGAAGCCTTCACTAAAACAATGGTATCCGATACTATCAGGTTAGCATTTGTGTGTCATATATACCTTTTATTTTTTTACTAAATGCTAGATGAGAAGCCTTCACTAAAACAATGGTATCCGATACTATCAGGTTAGCATTTGTGTGTCATATATACCTTTTATTTTTTTACTAAATGCTAGATGAGAAGCCTTCATTAACACGATGGTATCTGAATCTGTGTCATATATTGCATTTTGACATAAAAGATCAAAATTCAATTTCCATGGTTGATGTCGATAGACCACGACATATCATTTGAGCCCAAACCAATCTGTTTTTTTTAATTCGCCAATCTAAAACAGGTTCGCTGGTTGACTTTGTTTAGCGACATATAAATCTAGATGGGTTATCTAAATATTTTGAACAGTTTTGTGGCTTCAACTACAGATAAAATGTATTTTCGGTCATTTTGCTATAAAATTTATTGTTGATAATTCTGCTTTAAAAAATATACTGTTGGTAATTTTACTATAAATATGTATCGATGGTAATTTTTTTTATATAAAAATGTATTGCTGGTATTTTTACTATAGAAATGTATTTTTATATTCTAATAGTGTTTGTGGTTAACTATTTGCCCATAATTGGGTCACTAACACGTGCTACCACTTCGGGTCAGGGTTGACCTTGGAGTAACAGCAATTAAGAGGTGGTTCCACGCTTCTCAAATCTCCCGATCAGAGGCCTTACTGCCGAATGTAGTTTATCTCTATCTATAAAAGACAGGATATGTGTGTGCGTGTGTGTGTGTGTATGTGTGTGTATGTGTAATGAATGCACGGCCGCAATTTTCGACGGATTTGCACCAAAATTTACATGCACATGCTCCAAGTTAACGGAAAGACCAAGACCGACTTTGCATTTCCCAACTCCCATCGATAGTAGAAATAATCGATTTTTTCATGCTTCCTCAGCCGTTTTCATGTAGTTTGCTGCCATTTTCTACTGGTCAGAGTGAGAGCCAATAGCTGGCTGCCACGAATAGGCAGGAAGATTCTATTGTCCAGCGTGAGAGCCAACAGCTGACTGACACAAATGTTAACTAGCATGCTAGCATGCAAAAAAAATCTATAGCTGCATTCGTCACAAGTGGGGAAAAATTAAAACTGCATGGCACTTTATTCCAATTGGCTCATTCGCTTGCTTAAACTCAACGTTGATTCTGATTCCGGCAGAACTGGGTTGGTTATGAAAAAAGTATTTGTTGTTAACATTTTTTTTTCATTCGGTTTTTCCAGTTACGAGTGCTTTTTTTAAAGCTGATCGTTTTGTGTTCATTTTGTTTAGTTCTTTTTTCGTAACAGATTTAATGTTTAGTATAGAGCTTAGAAAAAATTCGCAAGAAGTAAGGCATGTAGCAACATCAGCAGGACAAAGGGCACTCCTTTAAAGGCAAGGAAGGGCAAAAATATTTTAAGTCAAGTGATAGCGATTGCTGTATGAGTCGTACAATTTTTGAATCAAGCACGGGTAACGCCGGGCCATGCTGCTAGTCGTGTCTAAAACAGGTATTCGGGTAATATTGCATTAATTAAATGATTAAATGATACTTCTTGTGGACAGTTTTTGTCTTTAACAAACAAAGAAGTCTGATGTCTTTGTTAATTTTTGGCTAGCTTTTTTCCTCCATCTTCTTTTCTTGTTTATTATTGCATCTCTGCGAGTGTTGAGCAAACAGTATGAAATGAATAATAAAAACATTCCATGATTTGTACTAATATCTTTGATCCTTGGGATGCGTTCAGAATAAAACTACCTGACTACGGAAGCCTAACCTGACGCCCTAGAAAGTTTCGTAACTTATCTACATTCTTTATTATCCAATGTATACACCGCGCCATGTGACACAGAAATCCGAATGCACATTGCAACAGAAAAGGATTTAATCTTCTAAATACTAAAGAAAATATTAAGCAAGAGAAATGTTTCGTTAGAAAAAAAAATCTATATAATGCTATATAATATCAATCCTCATATATGGTCATGAATACGGGTCAATTTCCTCATATATGAAGAGGAGTCTTGAGGCAACAGAGATGAGGTTCTATAGAAGAATGCTGAGAATACCATGGGCGGAACAGGTAAGGAAAATGAGAATGAAAAGGGGACTTGTACTTAGGATCAGAGAGAGCGTTGAAATCTTTAGTGCCCATAATGAGGAAAGAAGGTTTGGAGAATTTGATACTCTCATGACATACAGAATACAAGAGGGACAGATGGATCGATTGATTTGTTTATTACGTGTTATCAAACTTTTGCAGGTTATTTAAAGCCAGAAAATATTTTTAGATACTAAAGATTTTTTGGAAATAATGATTTTCACTGATACAAGTTCTAATTAATTCGTGGAGGGGAGAAGAGGTGGATCCATACCTTTTCCAAGTGAATTTACGCGTAAGTGAATATAACAAAACGAACTAGAATTGGAACTCCGACTCCCAAATCCAAGCCGTTATCCATTACACCACTCACGCATCCAAGCTTACAGCACCTGCTATTCTTAAGAGGTCATCCATTTAAGTACTGACCAGGCTTGGCGTTGCTTAACTTCGATGATCGTACGAGAAACTGTGTTTCAACGTGATCTGGCCCTATGCCCAGAAGTAGGTGGAAACAGCGAGAAACGCACCTAGGGAACTTATTTATATACGAGGGATGATAAGTGGCTAAACATTTTTTAGAGCGACAACGGATAGGAAGTCGTGGTGAGTCATGATCGCCCACGTCTGAACAGCCACAGAAAGGAATAAGACGCCATATTGTTTATATATATATTATATATATATATATATATATATATATATATATATATATGAGTCTAGTTGAAATATTCTTAAGTATTCATAATTCGGACAAGAGTGACGTCCCTTTGAGTTAATTTTATGCGTACTGAATGGAGGTTGCCATATTTAAGAAAATTTCTGTTCTCATAACTGCTGTGAACATAACTTGAGAAAGCGGCTGTTTCCTGAAGAAAAATAAATCTTTAATCTGCGGTTATATTTCTTTTCTATTTATTTTGCTGGGTTTTTTCTTTCTTTTTTCTTTAACGCTGATATCGGCATCCATTCCTTTCAGCGTTACTCGGTTCCTCTCTCTTTTTATCTGTTGTTGTCAATCAAAGAAGAAACCAGACAACTCTAATCGAACTGCGTTCTGGTTGATTCTGTTTAGAAATTGTTCTTCGATCATATTCTATGACACAGCTTGAGTCAATAGCTTTTTACCAATTGGAAGCGATGAACATGAACTACCGCCGCCATACACACACCCACTTCTTACAACCAACATATGAAAATATTTTTTTGTCATTTGAGATTTATTTATCGGATAACTAGATCTGGCATATAGCCAATCGAAGGGCGAGATTAGCCCTCCCTTTCTCTCTCCCTCACGCACACTCTTTCTTATACACGCACACGCGCGCGCGCACACACACACAAAGTCATCTTTAATTAGTTCTTTAAATTATTATAATAATCCGAGCATAGAATAGTAGGCGTATTCTCCTGAGGTTGAGGGCAGTTCGACGTGGTGTAATGGTTAGCAAGCTCGACAGAGCAGTGAGTTCGATTCTCATTGAATGCTCCATGCACATTAAATTTTACATTAAATTGCCAAACAAGTGTTGACATGACAAAATACAATCAACCAATGGCTTGATCAATAAGTCCGTAGCCTGAAACGTATTTATAAGCTGAATTTTGAACGACCACGCCACTCGATCATTTTGCGTTAATTCGGGCGTCCTCCAGGGCTCTATTCTTGAATCCACTCTCTTATTTTCAACAACGACCTTTCTGATGTCATCAGTTCCTGACGCCATGTTTATACTGGTGACAACTCTTTACCCCTGTTTTAGCAGTAAACCTGATAGGTTCGGTAAATTCAAATTGCAACTGATCTCGAAAATGACCTGCTATTTTTTTACTGGGGCAAGAAATGACTTGTTAATTTTAACACCTCTATTAAATAAACTTACCGTTTTTAGTTGATGCTAACATCCTGGAGAGCAACCCCTTATACCTTCGCGATCTCATGTTTTCCTCTGGCAGGTAGTAGAATGATTATATTGAATCAATTGCTAGGTCTGCTGGTAGACATTTTTTTCCGCAAGAATCTATCTTACACATTTATAAATCTACCATTCGGCCGTGTATCAAATATTGCTGGTCTGGTGTTTCTGTCTTATATCTGGTGTGTTATGATAAAAGCCAAAGAATAATCTGCAACGTTATCGGACCTGACCAGGCATCCCGGGTTCATGCACTTTCCCACCACCATAACTGTGGATTTTCAAGATAATTGTTTTGATAAGCTTTCTTCTTTGGTACGTCGACTTCACGAATTTAAGTACAGTACTGGATTGGCAGCTAGGTCTCATTTCATTGTTGAAATTACTAGTTATAACCGTAAGTTCTATACTAATAGTTTCATTTTATTTATTTATTTATTTGCTTGTGGAACTGTCTTCTGGTTTTCCAGTCAACGTCGATCTTCAAAAGCTTAAATACAATGTCAATCGCCATCTTCTGTCTCCTTGAACCCTGTTCTTTTGTCATTTCTATTTCTTCAATTCTCAGTAACCCCTTGCATCCTAGTTGCTTTATTGCTTTGCTTGGGGTAAAATTATCTTAAAGTGTCCAGGGCATGATGTTAGAATTATGTAATTAATATTTGCCACTGGATTAAGGGCACTTACAAAGTATGAGAATTTTCCCAAATAGAAAGAAAATAACAAAGTGTCTAGTCAAGAAAATGAGGGCTCATACTCGGTGTGAAATTAAGTTGAAAGAATTGATTTAATTGGAAAATAAAAAAAGGCGTAAATACTTGCCCAAAATATTATTTAGGCGCCTAATAAAAATCAAGCTGAGTAGAAAGAAAGTGTTCCTTGAAACGAGTTCTTTTGTTGTTAAAGGTTTAAATTGTCCTTTGTAAAAAGATAGAGAATGTTTACACGTAGTAGTGAATGTTCTGACCTATCAGGAGTCGAGGTCATTCGTAGGAGTTGCGAAAAATGTTGTTGGAGAGGAAGGCCGAATGAGGAATGTTGGTAGCAGCATTGCGACTCCTGGAAGCTTTGGTCTGCGATGTTCGTGTTTAGTTTCAGAAGTAATTGCCAATTTTTCGTGTCGGTTATGTGGACCAATTCGCGTATGGGAATCTTCTTGTTCTCAGCTACAATTATTGTTAAGGTTGTCCCCATGTCTGTTTGGCTATCCATCCTGACGACGCGTCGATGAATAGTGATTTTCACCGAGCCAGCAACTTTGATTTTAATTAGGGCACCACGTTCAATCAGTTATCTTTTCAAATTATCACGTTTTTATATCCCCGTTATTCTGATTGGTGGAAAAAAAATAAACCAATAGTGATTTTTCCTTCTCAAACACTTTTTTTTTCCAGAGCATTCGTTTTTTTTATTGCTCTGAGCCAGACGTAATGTCACCACACATAGGCTCAAAATCAAGGTTATGGAGAAAAGTCCAATCCGAACACCTCCTTGTTTAATAATTCGCTTTTAGATCGTGCACGGGATTGTATTTATTTCACATAAATGTTTATAAAATATTATATTGAAAAATATTCCTAGTCTGCACTATCCAGCCCAAAGATTGAACTCAGAATTACTATGTGACCAAATTCACGAACCACTGCTTTACACCGCTAAGGTTGTTGTCAGGTGGGCGGTGCAGGGGAATAACTGGGCAATTCTCAAATAAAGAACTGGACGAGATATCCCAAAACATGGTTAGCGGAACGAGAAAAATCTACTCTCATAGAGTAAATAAAATGGTCAGTCCGAAATTCCCTGAGGTTTACCCGGATCTACAAGGATCTGATGACGTCCGGAGGGCCCAGCGACCAAAACGTGATAATAAAGATGGGGACAATAGTCCGCATGTAAATAATGTCAACTCCTCATCCCAGAAATTCAAACAGAAATTATCTTTTTTCTTGTCTTTATTTTCTCATGGTGGTTTTTTCTGTTGTCACTAGGGTTTCTCTTAAGTTGTTTCACTTTTTATATGCGACCTTCTCCATAGTTTTATATTTATTAACGGTAAGTACGTTTGTTTAAAAATGGCGTCGCTTTGGAGTTTGTCGAATTGCAATTGTCGTATTGTCTTGGCTTTCTTTATGTTTTGTAATTTTACACTTATGCAAGATGATCGCTCTCAACGTCAGAGTATCTTTTGCCGGGAAAAATGTGTTTCTAACTCGTTTGTTGATAGTCGAGTAGTATATATGGTTTTTGATGGTTCCTGTCGGATCCACCAAGTCCCCTAGTACATTGACTGTTTTACAAACCAAGTGTTATTTATTACCATTGTCTGTACATCAATGAGCCTATTTTTCGTCGTATTCGTTACCTGAATCATGTTTATTCTTACCTATCATTTCACTATCTCATTCCTTTTCTATTTTTGCATTTAGCTCACATAATATTTTATTGGGACTTGCACTGAGATTTGTCGTATTTCTATTAAGTTCATCTATGCCATAGTTCAGTTTGCCAATATTCCAAAACATACTTTGTGTCTTTATCTAATATTAGTCCGACTCCTTTTCTTTCCTTCTGCGTATATTATTCTGTGGTATTATGCGAACTTTATAAGCAACGGCCAACAAACGCAGCAGTTTAAACTAATGAAGATCACGAGTGGCTGAAAAGAAATCCCTTTGTTCTTTTCATCTTTCCTCTTCGAAGGTCTTTGAATTTTGATGCTGACTTTGTTCTTTTTTTGTTTTGTTTTTTGTTTTGTTTTTGTTTTTTTTGTTGTTTTTTTTTAGATGTCGCCTATTAGGAAGAGATAATCCAGGTAAAGATAATCTAGGTAGAGATATATGTAGGTAGAGAGGGTTTATTAACTGACGATAAGGTAAGAAGACACGTTAACAACTTAGCTAGTAAAGCTCTCGCTTATCCAACGTTCAAGCATGAGAAGCATAAAATCATTAAAAGTTTATTTTCTAGAAAGAAGCAATGAATAAAAATGCATGTAAATGTGGGCGGATGAAGTGCATTTGCAGAATTTTTATCCATTATGCATGTGTGAGCTTTTCTATTTTCCGATCAGATTCTTCCCATGTTTGAACATTGTCGATAAATTTAACCGAATGTTAATAATCCAAATTCACAATCAAGTCCAGTCAAAGTTATGATTCGATCCTACTGGGCTATTTCCCCTGCCTTAGTTACAGAAGTTGGGTAAGCTGCCAATGGAGAAGTTTTGAATTGGGAATTCATACGAACACAGACATCCTTTGTGAACACACACGAACATAAACCTGACTACTGAACACACACACACACAGGAATTATGCATTCACCCGACCACACGCATGAAATGTGAATGCACACGAACACCCACATGAATTATTAATTTACACGAACACGCACATGAATTAGTAACTCACGTGAACACCCATATTATATAAAATTTATGCAAAATTTCCGAACGTAATTTTTTGCATGATGCATCGGAAATCTTAGAAGTGTATTGCAAGTTTATATCGTTCTTTATTTCTAATATAATTAATAAACCGCAGAAATTGCATACTTTAGAAAATTGCATACTTTAGAA